TTACATGAGGGAGAAGAGGTCAAATAGCACGCTGGCCCACACCCGGCAGTCTGGGGTTCCTGGGAAGCTGGCTTCAGCAGGGTGCCACGTGCAGACTGTGGGGAGCCAGCTCTCACACACTGGGCCTGGGATGCCTGAGGGCAGTGGGGTGAGGGCCGAGTCCCGCTGCAGCTGCTTCACCCTGCACTGCTAAAGGCTGCACTGCACAGGCTCTCTGGGGATTTCCTGGGCACTTTTGCAAATGTTCTGGAGGAAAAGGGCCCCATGCCCCTCTCTGTGGTTCACGGTACACGTTACATTGTCCCAGAGTTGAACCAAGTCAGTGTCAGTTCTTTCCCAGTAGCCAGGCCCTCCAGCCCTGCTTGTAGGTTGCCCTGGGTAGGACCTAAGCTACAGTGGCCTTGGTCCTCTCAGGATCCCAAGGGAGCCCGTGAGCCCTGCAACAGGGAGCCCTGGACTGGGGCTTGGGAGTTGTGGATTCTAAGCCCGGTTCTGCTATAAATTTGATTCTGCATATTTGTCAACTGTGGGGACCAGATAACCTCTCCTACTTCACGACCCCCTTCACGACCCCTTTATTAGTTGTGACTATCAGCTTGGTTACAGGAATAAGTTGTTATAGAGTTGTTATAGTTGCCTCCATGAGCAGATTCTGGAGATGCTAGTGGTGAATGAACATGCCCTCTCTCCCCACCTGGCTCCCAGTGATGGTCCCTCAACTCACTGAGATCGTGCACAGGTGAGGTCGGTGAACTGGCAGTGCATGTTACCAAGTAAGCCTGGGTGATAATATCGGAGAGCTTGAACATTAGAGTCTGGACTGAGTGAGCTCTTAAAAATTATTGCCATGTCTAGGATCTTTGGCTTTATGAGGACTTCCTTGAATTCAGTTCAAGTCACACTTAATGATGTGCATAATTTTAATTGTTCTGCATGACAATAAACACCAATAGAAAGAATCTGGCAAACTAGGGCATGTTTACATAGCAGAACTGCATTTTTTCCCTGTTTACAACATAATCAGCATCAATGCTGACAGTCTCCTCAAACACAGCCAGGGCAGCCCTTCCACTGCAAGACCAAATTCTGGTACGTTTCTTCAGTGGGCTCTCTGCTCACCAGTGACCCATCCCCGTGTCCAACTCTTGCCTCTTACCACCATCATCCCCATTTCCTGTGCTTCTCTGGTACTTACCACACTAACCTTTACACTGGGGACTTCAGGACAGATGCCGACTGCTCCGAATCTGGGAAGGCTGCATTCTCTGAATGTGGGGAAGCTAGGGCAAGGTCAGGATCAAGTGAGACAAGGACTGAGGCAAAAGAGGACACGTGTCGCCATAACGCATGAGTTTCTGCAACCTTTATCTGAGCATGAAAAATTCAAGCTATACCCGAAAGCCTTTGAACCCTCTGAGCACCTCCGGGGCTGGCCCCTCCACCTTTGTGGTTCATGTGCCCACCACAGTACACTCTATTTTCAGAGGTCTGTGCATCAGTTTGGCCAAGGATCTCTCCTGTGGTCTGGGCATCCGTCCCACAAGGTCCCTCCTTTGAGCTCCTGGGCTCTTTTGTTCCCTCTTGTTTCCTTCTGCAGTTGTTACTCCTAGAATTCATCAACAACACCCGTTCACTCCCCAGTCTTCTCGCGCACAGGTGCCCAGATCCTGTGCTCAGATCTCTTCGTGCACCTCGTGCAGGTGGGTTCTGTTCTCCCAATTGGGTCCTGATTGAAATGGGGCAGGAGGAATGTGGGGCCTTTGAGATGCTGTTTTGTGGGGAGCATCGCAAGGAAGGGGGATGTTGACTGATGCACAACGGAGAGCTCTTCAGCTGGGCAGAGGGGTCTCGGGCAGCGGTGGAAAGGGGTGTGGGGGTGGACACCGGCTGAGCCTGGCTTGAGCAAATGTGTCTGAATTCATTATTGTTCTGTCCTAGGGGAACAGATAAGCGGGAGGCCAAATGTGACTGGGGACTCGGCAGGAAAGGCCCATGTCCTGCCAAGACCAAATACGAGATGTGGTGCAAAGGATGAGGGATTGAGCAAGGAGGCTCTTTTCAGGGCTGAGAAGAGGAGTTGATGGAGGGGCTGCCCTGGAGGCTTCTGTCTTATGTGCAGCACATTCCTCTCCAGCTACTCGGGTTTATATGAAGTTGTAAGCACTTCTAGTCTGTCTGCTGAAATTCACTTTAGTCAACCAAACTTGTGCCTCAGAAATTTTCTGTCCTGACCTCAGCAGATGGGCTGGTCGGAGGTGGAGAAAGTGAGACTGTAACAAACATGATACAAACACAAACTGTTACTGATTTATTGAGAACCTACAAAGGTCCTGCGTTACTAAGAAAAGAAAAGAGGGTGGGGGAAGTTTGGACGTGGACTCAGTTTTTGGAAAAATCATTGCCTACCTCTTTTAGAATTTAGTCACTTCTGGAGCCCACTGAATTTTGAGGACACCAGGAACATGGCCTCCCTCAGTTAAGAATGTGATTCTCAGTGCCTATGGTTCCCTATGGGGATGAGGGTGCATCTCCAAGGGGCTTTGAAAACCCCCTACTTATAGGGGGCTTTCAGCCTAACCCTGGGTTCAGGGGTGGATCAAGGTGGCATGGTTGGGTGGCCAAGAACGCCATTTGGGTCCTGACTGAAACATGCAGCAGATTTTGCAATCACAGGACTCCCTGAGCAGAGGGCAAGCTTCCTGGAGGCAGGAGATGGACTCCCTTTATCAAGGGCCTGGCATGTCCAGCCCTGACCCCACAGTGACATGGCAGCAAGAAGACTGCCCTCAGGGGAAGTAGCTCAGTCATCCCTTTTGGAGAAACCCAGCGTCTGTCATCAACTCTATTTCCTCCTGGGACTTGGTTTGGTGCTCACTTCTCAGAGAGCTCAGGTGAGATTTCCTCATCTGAGCCTTATGGGACCTTCCCGGAGGAGGAACTGGCTTTCTTCTATTATACGGTGTCACAGCCCAGTGGTGGAAGGTGGAACCTCCCTGCGCCATCAGATAAGTGACTCTTCCCCACACCTTTGTGGTTGGTGCAGACGGGCAGCCATATTGTCTATCTCAAGCACATTAAAATGTGTTGAACTGATATGGCACATCCTTGGCAAAGTGACACTACCCTGTAGGTATTTGTTTATGGCCACAGAGTGAAAAACAGCAGGTGAGGAGTGACGACAGATGACCTGAGATGGTATTATTATTGGCTAAAGGAATGCTGCTATGACGTTCACATCTATACTCCCAAACTGATTGTTCATAATGCGGGTGAGATCCGGCTTCTCCAGATCAGAGATCCTGAAGGCAGAAGACCAGAGCTGGGGGGGCCCGAGACTGAGCTCCAGACCTCAGGGATCCCTGGTCCAGGTAGGTGATCCTTACCCCCTGCTCAAGGGGCCAACAGATGGAATGGGGGAGTGGGGTGGCATTGCCCCTATGATGCTGTTTCCCTACTAGAAGCCTCTCTATGGGCTCCCCCAATGCCTAACTATCACCCCTCCACCACCTTGCTCTCAGTCCAGCAGCAGCCCACAGTCTCCCAGGATGGCTATGCCAATGAGCAGGGCCTCGCTGAAGGGCCAGGCACACACTGGGCTTTGGAAATCTGAGGAAGATGCCAGCACCTTTCTGAAGGCTGAATATATTGAGCGTTCTTAGGTGGGAGGAGTGGGCCTCAGATGGTCACGTGCACTGCTTCCTTAGAAAGCCCTGAGGGCCCCACTTGCATTTATCTTGGTCTGGGGGCCCGGATCCCTAAGGAGCTCACGGGGACACTGGCAGGTCCTCCTGCCTGTGGGTGTCACTCTGCTCCAGCAGCAGCACCAGTATCTTCGCATATTTGGGCACCTACATCTCTGCCCGACACCTCTTGCTCTGATGTGCTGCGGCTGCCAGGTTTCCTGCCTTCTCCACTGCCACCAGTTCTCTGTGTCCCTTCGTTCACCCCCAAGACTGCAGAGGCACTTGTGCTTTGGGTGCAGGGGATGCAGACAAAACCCAAACACTGTAAAACCAAACAGTGCATATCCGTCCATCTGCTAAAGCCAGCTGTCCCTCCCCCAGGGCCACAGGCCACCATCCTCTCCTCCTCCTCCTCCTCCTCACTGCCCTTGCTGCCTGGGCCTGCAGCACTTCCTTCCCACTTATTTTTTGCAAGACCATTTAGGTCCCTTTGTCACACTCCTAAGCTACTCTTCAAAGATACTTATCTATATAAATTGCCCTCTGCAATCTTAAAAGTGGTGTGACCCTTGAGAAGCCGCTCACTTTCCGGTTTTCATGTGTAGTAGAATGGGGGCAAGAAGGCTTGCCCCGCCCTCACTGTGTGGTCCCGAACTGACACTGGGGAAGTTCCCTGTGAACTGGGGGAGGAGCGGCACACCATGCCGGGTGGGGTGGGGGCTCCCGTGTCAGCCCCACCTTAACACACCAGGAGTCGAGTGTCTTGGGACCTTTGGGAGGCTCTGTTTTCCAGGACCAGAGGCTGAAAGATTAGACTGTGGCAGGGCAGTGGCGGCTCTTTCTGTAGAGACCAGGACAGTCGGCATTATAAGCTTTGCTGGCCAGATGACTCTTCTTCAATGCTTATCTCTGCTGTGTAGCCAGAGAGCAGCCATAGACCACATGCAAACAAGGGCATGGCCATGTTCCAATAAAACTTTACTTAAAAGACAAGGATGGGACGAATCTGGTCTGTGGGCTATACTTTTCCAGCCCCAGGATTAGAGCAATACAGATTGAACTAGATCCACAACAATGATACTGTGCCCCAGAGGTTGGGCAATGTCACTTTGGCAAGGCAAAAATCAAAGGGGGTGGCAGCAGGGAAGAGCACAGTGGGCCCCTAGAGGGCTTGCTGGACACAGCAAATGTTTCTGAGCAGAGAGGGGGGCCGGCAAAGTCTCTTGGGGTCAGGAGTGTCATAGCCAGTGTCCTTCCTGTCCCCTCAGGTCCTGCCCTTCATCCCTGGCTCCTGTTGAGTCATTCATCACCCTGAAAATGTCCCTCCTGGAGGAGAATGCAGGAGTGAAGGTGGACTCTGGAGACCTGGAAAGGGCTGAAAGCCAGTGCAGCTCAGAAGGTGAGGTTCTTGTGAAACTGCGCCTATAAACTCCTGAAGTGGGACCCCGTGAGAAACCGTGCACAGTCCCTGGCCTCCCCTGGCACTTGGCATGGACAGTGAGCTTTGAGAATTACCTGGGTAGGTGAATTAGAAGACAGAAATTCTTGAGAGCAAATGAAGCTTAATTGCAGGAGCCCAGGGCAGTAGGTGATGGATAAATGGGTCAAGTTCACCTGAGACTTGGGGTTTGAAGTCCTGACTCACCAGTGGGGTGGTTTTGAATCCTCCAAACACATCTCTGTGCCCCGACTGCCCAGCAGAAGCAGGGCCCACAGTAGGGGGGGGGTGGTGTCTCTGAGTCTTGGCTGGGCAGTGACCCTGTGCTCCTGAGTGCTCCTTGCAGAAAAGTACTTGGGCATCACCTCGAGGGAGATGTTAAGAGCCAAATGTTGGCCTCCATGACTGTGCATGCACAGGTGTGAAGGGAGAGGCCTGTGACATGCCAGAGACCACATTCCTGAGCTTTCAACTTACACGCGACCATCATCATTTGAAACTAAAAGTCAGGACACTGGACTGACAACCGTGGATCCATAACAGTGATGACAGAGGCTTGGGCCCAGCCCCACTCCTGTCACAGGGCCACGAAGTGGCTGCCACACTCACCTTGTCCCAGGTTCTAGTGCTGCAGTTTCCTAGAGCCAGGTCTGATAGGACCTTCACAGAGAGCACGGGGCCGGTGGGGGGGGGGGGTTCTTTTGCCACCAACTCTGTGTGCTCTCAGAACAAAAGTCCGGTATCTGATTTCATTCCAGCCCTTCTCAGACTTAATGTCTCACCAGGCAGGACCCCAGTCACTCTCCCAGTTGTGGCAGTGTTTGCTCTGCCCCTGAGTTAAAGAGGATGTTTGTAGGAAGTTCTGCACTCAGCTCCATTCCATCCCTGTTCCACCATCTTTGACATGCAAAGCTATTTTTAGTGTCGTTACTGTCTCTGTTCTTCACATTTCTGAAAACACACAAAAAATAAGCAATGCATTAAATGGCCCCTTGAGGCTCTTGATTCTCTGAAAAGTCCCCAGTGTGTACACTAGCTTCACTGTCTCTATTCCAGCTTCAGCCTGCGGACCCCTGGAACCAGGCCCCAGCCTCACCTCTCTGAACTCTGCACACGCAGGTATGGCCCCTGGGCAGCCTGGTGAGGCTGGGGTGGGGATGAAGCCACTGGGCTCTCTCTGGGGAGTGGGAGAACCAGAGATGAGGGGCACCTAAGGGTGCTGGCTTGGGGTAGAGGCTTCTCCTTTGAAATCTCAGAAGGGTCAATAAGAAAGATGGGCCTGCAGAGGGGGGTGCACACATACCTGCCCAGTGGCTCAGGAGAAGAACAGCCTCGAACCTGGATAGCACCCCAAGTTCTTCTGCTGACCCTTGCTGGCAGCCATGACCTCCTCACAGTGCTTATGAAAACCAGGAACTTGGCAGGAGGGGAGCTTGGGCTGCTGGGAACTGCTCTGGCTGGTTTCAGGAGTTTTAAATGCCAACCACCCCACCCCCCACCCCCAGGCTAAGGCTGAGTGAGCAACCTCTGGCCTGCAAGCCACTAAGAACACAAAGCTTGTCTCTGGCAGCAGCACTGCTTCTGCTTCATCCCCTGCCCCCAACGCTTTGTCAGTTAGTCATAGACAAGTAAGACCCCTGGGGGGGGGGCAACCTAAGCCAGACAAGAACACTTGGGAGACCCCAAGGAAGGACTCAGGGACTGCAGCAAAGAGGGAGTCGTGGACCCTCACCCCCACCTATTCTGACTTAACCTGAGTCCCCATTTCCAGGGTCATTGGGTATAAGAAAGAATTCCTAAAGTCCTATGAACCCTGCTTTGCTAAAAGTGCTTTCATTCATATGATGAGGCTCCAAGCAGGAAATGAGTATGTCTGGCAAAGTTTTTGCAAAGCCCTTACCTGACAGACACTGATTCAGACTAAGCCCTTGGATTTCTTTGAAATGTTATCTACTGTTTAATCCTTACCACCTGACATTGATTGATGAACTTCACCTGTATTCCTATGTGTTCTGAATTAATAAAAGCCGATGAAGAAGATGTTCTTGGTCCTCCTCCTGTGAGAGATTGGCCACCTCTCCACTCCAAGCAGATCATGTCTTGGTAGTTTCATTTTCATCCCTGGTGGATGGGGAGTCTTGCTGGCAAAGTTACCCCCACACTGTGTTGCTGAGTACCATGGGCACAGTAGCTACGACCCATCCCACAGGCCTCAGGTGACCCTCACAATAACCCCAGGAGGAAATGTTAATGTCACCACTTTCCAGGTGCAGAACCTGAGGAGAGAGGGAAACTAGCAGCCCCAGGTGCACAGGTAGTGAGGGACATGTTGAGATGTAAGGAACTATAACTCCTGTTGGCCCGAGCCAAGTTCAAGGCTGCCATGACTGGCCCCTGCCCAGGACAGTGTCAGGAGTCCTCAGGCTGAGTCCCAGCACCAGCACAGGCCATGTGTGAACACGCGTTTTCCTCCAGGAAAAGAGGGCAGTGAGCCCCAAAGGAGAGGAGGTGCACACAGTGCCCACACTGCCCCTGGGTCCCTGGAATCCTGCACTGCTGCTGCCTCAGCTGGTTCAGTTGGTTGTGGTTTGGCCGTGGGTGGGAGGGGCCTGCCCCAGCTCTGCACTGGGCCCCATTGGTGGGACCACCACACAGGCCTGTCTGATGGGCCCATTTTGACTCCTCAGGGCTGTAGTCCCCCACACCCGGGGGCAGGTTCTCAGTGAGTCGTCCTGGACCAGAAGTGTCAACAGCTCCTGGGAATTTGTTGGGAATGAAAATTCTCTGGCTCCACCACAGACTCTTGCATTAGAAACTCTGGGTGTGGGGCTCAGGGTCTGTTTGTGCAGACACCAGTGTTACTGTGGTACACGGGAAGGTGAGGACCGCTGCTCCACAGGAAAGACCACCAGCCCCAAAGCAGCACTGACAGGTCTACTGAGGCCTGGAGCAGGATGTTTGAAGAATGGATTTGGGGTCAGGAGTGAAGTGAGAGAGGACGTGAAGAAGCCTGAATGGGAGATGGTGGGGTCCCAAGTCAGGGTGTGTTGGGAGGGAAACAGAAGTAAAAGAACAGATTTAGGAAATATGATGGGGACCCCCAAACCCTGGAATTATCTTCTGGAGGGCAGGCCCTTTTAGGCACAGGCTCCTCCACTAGGTGAGTGTTCTAGGGACTCACCTGCATCAGTGAACCAGGTGGAGTTCTTGTGAGAGGCTGCACTGAGCTTCAGTGAATTTTTTTTGAAGTCTCTTTGAATATTTGCCCATTAAGTGATGGGTGATTTAAGAGCACACCTGGCCACACTGCACTGAGTGTTCAGCAGTTTTTGACCAAAAACGGCATGACCCCCCCACTGCCCTATCTTGCTTATTCACCTGATCTCACCCCAAGTGACTATCTTTTGTCTTGCTGGATAAAAAATCCTCAAAGGGAAATGTTTTGCCGATGTGCAAGAGCTGAAATAAAAAATGGTGGAAGCACTAAAAGATGTCAAAATCCATGATTTTGAGCAGTGGATAAACATCTTGATAGATGCATTGCATCAAATGGAGAGGACTTTGAAGGCGACTGAAGGTTAAACATGTAGGAATAAATACACATTTTTATAAACAAAATCCGTGTCTTGGGGGTCCCCCTCATATATGGAACAAATATTATTGTTAACATTCTTATAGATGTCGCCCAAATTTCCCCTCTTTGCCCCTCAGCCCCTACCCCCACCTTCACCACATTGTCACGTGTGTCCATGGGCTGTGCACACATGCATGTGTGTTCTGAGGCTGATCTCTTCCAGTCACCCCCACCGAGATCCCTCTGAGATCCATCAGTCTGTTTCATGTACTCATGCTTCTGGTTTTACTTTGTGAGTTCATTTTGTTCATTAGATTCCACATATGAGTAAGATCATATGGTATTTGTCTTTCTGTGACTGGCTCATTTCACTTAGCATAATATTCTGTGGGATCATCCATGGTGCTGCAAAGGGTACGAGTTCCTTCTTTTTTGTAGCCATGTAGTATTCCACTGTGTAAATGCACCAGTGCTTCTTCATCCCCTCATCTACTGAGGGCACCTGGGCTGTTTCCACATCTCGGCTGCTACATGCATAGGAATGTATATATTCTCTCTGACGGGTGTTTCAGGATTCTTAGGATATAGTCCCAGAAGTAGGGTCGCTAGGTCAAATGACGGTTACATTTGCAGTTTTCTGAGGAAATTCCATACGGTTTTCCTCTGTGGCTGAACCAGTCTGCATTCCCACCAACAGTGCACTAGGGTTCCCTTTTCTCCACATCCTCTCCAACACTTGTTGTTTGTTGATTTATTGATGACAGCCATTCTGACGGGTGTGAAATCTCACTGTGGTTTTAATTTGCATCTCTCTGAAATTAGTGATGTTGAGCATTTTTTCATAAGTCTATTGGCCATTCATACGTTTTCTCTGGAGATGTGTCTATTTAGGTCCTTTGCCCATGTTTAAATTGAATTTTTTCCCTCTTGGTGTTGAGTTGTATAAGTGCTTCATACATTTTGGAAATTAACACCTTATCAGATGTATCATTGGCAAATATACTTTTCCATATAGTGAGTTCCCTTTTCATTTTATTGATGGTTTGTTTTGCTGTGCAGAAGCTTTTTATATATAGTTTGGTATAGTCCCATTTGTTTGTTTTTTTCTTTCTTTCCCTTGCCCTAGGGGATGGATATATTGGCAAAGATATTGCTGTGTCTGAAATCTTACTGCCTATGTTTTCTCCTAGGATTTTCATGGTTTTGTACCTTACATTCAAGTCTTGTATTAATTTTCAGTTTATTTTTGTGTATGGTGTAAACTGGTGACCTATTTTCATTTTTCTGCACATGCCTGTTCAATTTTCCCAGCACCACTTGTTGAAGAGACTGTTTTTACTCCATCAGATGGTCTGGCCTCCTTTGTCAAACATCGATTGACCATAGAGGTGTCATTGATATCTGGGCTCTCTGTTCCATTGCATTGATCTATATGGCTGTTCTTGTGCCAGTACCAGGCTGTTTTGATTACAAGGGCTTTGTAGTATCGTTTAAAATCCAGTTTTGTGATCTCTCCAACTTTGTTCTTCTTTCACAAGGTTGCTGAGCTATTCAGGGTCTTTTTGGGTTCCATATAAATTTTTGGAATATTTGTTCTAGATCTATGAAATATGCCATTGTTACTTTAATAGGAATTGCCTTGACTCTATAGGTTGCTTTGGGTAGTATAGACATTTCACTGATGTTAATTCTTCCAATCCATGGACATAGTATATGATTTAAGAAATATTTAAGAGTTAAAAAGCACAATGGGAGTGCTAGCAATGCAACTTATATAGCATGTCTGTGTCTCACCCTGGACCAGTTGAATCAGAATCTTGGGGATGTGAGGCCCATGCATCCACAGTCTTAAAACATCATCCACGAGGTGGTCCAATGTGTAGCCAAGCTTATAAGCCAGAGTCTCAGGCCATGACTCCCAGAAGGTGGCCCTTGGAGCATCAGCATGGCCAGCACTGGGACTGACAGAAAGGCAGAGTTGCATGTGTGCTTAATGCTTGAGAAGCTGGAAGGTTTAGAGTTAATTTGGTTTCATGATTCTGAATCAATCTGCATCAGTCCCATGCACTGAGAATGTCTGAGGTGGCCCAAAGAAGTCCCTGGGGAGCTTCTAGAGCTACCCAGGGTTGTGACCCACAATCTCACCTGACCCCACATCATTGCAGGGATTCTTAGACTCTCACCTGGGCCATTTATCCCTGCCATGAATGCTGAGTGTCCATGTTACTGGAGGCACTGGGATGGGGCCAAGAAGGATCTTGCCAGGTCAGACAGGGGATCTGCACTCAGGATCTTCTGATGCCATAGGGAGATGAGACAGGGACACCAACACCTGTGCTTCAGGTGAGCATGCAGAGTACTGTGGCAGCCCAGACAGGAAGCCCTCCACACAGAGGGGGCTGAGGAAGGCTTCAGAGAGGAGGTCACAAAGACCAGTTTATTGGGAAGTGTCTCTCATTTCCAGGGCAGGAGAAGACCAGCCAGAGATGTGTGCATATTGCATGGGAGAGGAATGAGGCTTTGGATTTCCTGTCTGTGTTGTAATTACCCATCACAGCTAATTACATGATAACATCACTTGGTGCAGTGGTTGCTTCACATTTTACAAACACCATCCAAGACTATTATTGGGCCACTTGTGGGCTCCTGCACCCGTCAATCAGGTGCCTGAGGCTCCCTGTGAGGGGCAGGCCTCCTGCCCATTCAGAGGCCCAGTAGGGAGGGTTTCTGTGCAAGCCCCCCCCCCCCCCCGTGGGCAGGACTGTCCTGAATGTTCTCCCAGGAGCCCTGCCCTGAGAAGTCACCCTGGCCAGCATGGTGGCTGGTCCTGTGAATTCAGAGAGGTTCCTCCAGGGCCAGGCACAAGCCCTGTAGATTTCTGAGGGCGTGGAGGACCAGCTGGTCTTCATGGTGCTGGCATCCTGGGTGCTTCCTGCCTCCACCTCTCACCCCCACCCCACTGGGGCTCCACTGGCCCAGCCAGTGCAAGGATCTGTTTCACCCCATGCATTGATAGGAGCATGGTGTCTGTGCAAGACGGTGCAGGAGGAGGAATTAAGATAGATAATGATTAACATGTATGGAGTCCCTCCCATACTCAGACACCTGGCTATGAGCGTGAGGGAGGCTCAGGGCCATTGGTTTGAAGAAGCATTTTAATCCACCCAATGCCCCTGTAAGGTAGGTGTTGTTATTACCCCATTTTACCCAGGAGGGCATTGAGGGTTGGGGAGATTTAGTGACTTATCCTATGTCCTAAAGCAGGAAGTCACAGAGCTTGGATTTGAACCCATGTGTCAGAATTGGAAACCCATGTGCTCACATATGAGCTGAATCACTTGTCTGGAGCAAGGCAGGAAGCCTGGGGCGGAAGAGGTGTTTAGTAGGCAGATGTTCAAGTCCACAGGCAGGAGGAGGGCTGGGCTAGGACCTCCCTGTGGGCTCAGAAGAATTGAGTTTCCCATTTCCAATGTGAGGTATTGACATTTGGTTATATTAATTTAGGTCCAAAAGTGGTGACCCGAGTCCCAGAAAAATTCACCATTCACGACAAAGACCACAAAGTATTGGTGCTGAACTCTGGGACCCTCCTAGCGGTTCTAGAGAAAGACTACATACTCCCAGGTGACTCTCTTGGCTGTTTTCTGTCCTTTGCATCTAGGGGAAGATCTCACCAGGGCTCAGCTCAGGGTGGAGGACACCTCCAGCCCCAGGAGGGGGTGGGCAGTGGGCTGAGGAGCCCCAGGGACCCCTAGGAATGGAATGGTGGTCTGTGCCAGTGACCAGGCATTAGGGAAGTCTTTCTGGACTGTGGGGGAGGAGGAGGCTTGGGCTGGAGTAAAGGAGCCTGAAGTCCCGGCAGACAGAAGGCCTCTCTCCTCCTCTGAGGACCAGTCCCTCTTTTGTGACTGTCTTTCCCGCAGCGATATTCTTAACTTTACCGGCCCGCTTCAACTGCTTGGTGTCTGAGCACAAGGGAAGTCTGATTTTTTTGGCAGTCTCCAAAGGAGAGCTCTGTCTCTGCTGCAAGAGGGACAAGAAACAAAACCAGGTGACCCTCCAGCTGAAGGTGAGCATTGTCATCCAATCTCCCGTCCCCTCAGCCACCCCAAAGAGGAAGGCCAAGACCCGCCATGCCTCTCACTCTTCACAAATTCTCACTTTGGCTGGTTCAGCAGGGGCACCACCAGCAGGAAGCTTTGGGTGGAAGAGCTTCTTGCCCTCCCATTTGCCTCTGGGCTCTAAGAGCCCACAGGCTGCATTTTCTCCTATTCAGAGGCTATGCTGGCTAATCAATTCCTTTTATCTCACAGAAGCAGAATCTTGCCCAACTGGTTTCCTTGAAGGAAAAAAAATGGAAGCCCTTCGCCTTCTACAGGGCCCAGGTGGGATCCCGGAACACACTAGAGTCTGCGGCCTACCCTGAGTGGTTCATCTGCACCTCCTGCAATTTGGGTGAACCTGTTGGAATGACAGACCATCCTGGACGAAACAAATGCATTGACTTTTCATTTTACCCAGTTAAGAATGTTGAAATGAGCCCCAGTGAGATTAGGGAGTAGGAGGCTTTCCTTACTCATTGAATATCCTCCCCTGCCTGCCTCCCAGTAGTTTTTCCTATTGAATTTCTGTTCTGGGATTCCAACTTGGTATTAACTAAGTATAGGTACTTGCATATTTTTACCCCCGCAATAAAAACCTTAACTTAATAATCCATCAGTATTTATCCCTTAAAAGTGAAACTCTTCTTTTTGCTCCATTGGTCTCAAACAGTGCAGGCAGCTTTCTCACGGGCTGGTTGAGGAAGTGACCGCCACCGTGTGAGGCATTTTGCCTTTTAACGATGTATCCATGGACCCAGTCACTTTGTGACTAGCTCCCGAGCAGCTCCATGTGACACTGTTGCATCCAGACTCCTGAAATGCAGTGTCTCTTGTTCTGCATCTGTAGACACCTAAGGAAGTGGCACTAGTCTCACAAGGCCCCCCGCAGTTCGTTTCCTGCGCTTGTGTCCTGTGAGGCCTTCTCTGTGCCAGCAAGATGCTTAAACTAAGGATGAGAATTATTTGGAGCAAGATTCTACAATGAGATAATTATTGTTATGTTTCTTTAAAAAAAAAACAACAAGGCAACAGGCCCAAATGTAGTTGATGAGGCTAAACCACCCCCTCACCCCCATATCACCAAATGGAATCTCAAACTGGCCCATCAGGAGTTCCCTGGTCAGCTCCAGGCAGGTGACCTTCCTGATAGGCCCCTTCCATCCCCCAGAGGAAGTGACCTGGCCATAAGCTGCCTGCTTCTCTGCCCACTACAACTTTCTCCTCCCCACTCCCTTCTGCCTGTGATGGTCTTTCATTCTGTCCAGCCCCCTGGAGCTCCTTTCTGTGCTGGATGCCAGGCTGCCCAATACGAATGGTGCTCTGCTCAAATAAACTCTTAACACTTTTTATATGCCACCATTTATCTCTGAATATGTTACAGAGTTGACGACAAAATATTTTCCCCCACAATTGTGTATGACCTGTGAATCTGATAACTTTCTAGTATTAATTAAAATGTTATGCCTTCTGCTGCTCAGACAATAAATAATAGATGAAAATTAAATGTTCCATTTTAAGGAGACTGTAGGCCTTTATTATGTTACACAGTCAAATTTTCATAATTTTTGTTATCTGCATTTGACAGAGTACTTCAAAATAAGTTGCATTGAAAAATCCCCCCAAATTAGGCATATGGTAAAAAGTAGGTACTGATACACATTTCGTGTACTCACTACTGAACACCTTCATGTACTCAATCACTAAAAATCTCAATATGTTACAAAATAAATGTGTCAGTCATATAACAACAAACTACTTAAAAATTCACTCTCACCCAAGGCCATTGTTCATTGCTTTTAAAGACAGGAAGGGAGAAAGAAAGGCAGAGAGAGAAAACTCAACGTGAGAGTGAAGCATTGACTGGTTGCCTCCCGTCTGCAACCAGACCGAGGATCGTATGCACCCGACTGGGAATTAACCTGCAACCTAGGTGTGTGCCCTGACCAGGCATCAAACCTGCAACCCTGGCTATGGGATGGCGCTCCAGCCTCCAGAGCTACACCAGCCAGGGCCAAATTATTAAAAAAATTAATCATCTGAAGGTACAAAGACCAAAAGTCCACTTTAATTAATCGAGAACATTTCATTTGTTAAACTATTTATGTTTTGAATTTACTTCACTATGAAATACCCTGAGCAATTAGATTTTGGCTGGTTAATATGAAAAGTCTACAACAATTAGACATGTACATGTGAACTGGACAGCAATGTAAAGTGCATTTCAAAGAGTGGATTTTAAAGCCAGGGGGTGAGAGACAAAAACCATATGGTCTCACCTCTAACAGGAACCTTCAACAAAAGAAACAAACAAGCAAAATAAAACCAGAGACACTGAAATTGAGAAGAGGCTGACAGTGATCAGGGGGAAAGGGTGAAGGGTTTGCAGGAACAATTATAAAGGACACATGGACAATAATGGGGTGGGGGGTGGGAACAGGAGGGAGGTGGGAAGGGCTGGAGTATTGGACTGGGGTGGGGCAGAAAACTGTACTTGAACAACAATTTAAAAAAAGATTAAAAAAAAGAACTTTACCTGGAGAATTACTTGAAACAAAAAGAGAGTGGATTGTAGTAAAAATAAAGTTTGAAAGCACAATTCCATGGTTATAAAAGATGTCTTCCCTGTAGGAACTGACAGTGCTTAGCTCCAGCAGCTTGGCCCAGGTGTAAGCTCCAGAGGCCACTCTGTCACTTGCTGTCATTTGCTGTCTCTCGCTGTCATTGCACCCTCTGCTGGTCACAGAAAACACAGCTGACACCAGGTAGTAAAGGTGATTGGGGTGTCTGGATGCCTGGCAGCTGGGCCCTCTGTGCAGCAGGACCCAGTAGGGGCAGAGGCTGAAGATGGCTCTTTAAGGGGTTTGTGATGAGCCAGACACTTGCATTTGTGAAGGTAAGGTGAGCAAGGAGATGAGCAGCATCAGCTCCTAACAGGTCTCAGGGTCTCACTGCAGAGCTGGCAGGGTAGACAGTGTGGAGGGCTGTCCTCAAGGGAGTGATGTGGAGGGAGTTGCATTTTAGAGGGATTTCTTGTCCAGAGAAAGGTGAACTTCCTGGAGCAGGGCAGGTAGTGATGGGGGTACCCTGTACCCTCCTGCTCTGTGTCTGTGAGACTGACCCTGTGGGCAGCTTCCAAGGTCTCTAGTCCTGTCTCCTGGTCATGCTCAGGCCTTGGGGGATCAGAGGGAGGAGGAGACTGAGTTAGAGTAGCCCGGTCCCCATCTGCACCCCTGTCCTACACCAGTCTCTGCCATCCTCAGCCCCTTCTCCTCTGGGGCAGGTGATGGACTCCAGCTGCAGGCAGCCCTGGTGCTTCTCCATGTCCTGTGCTTTCCCTGGTCCTGCCAGCACTTTTCCAAATGCTCCCTGGCTGCTGGCATCCTCCCCACTGTGCTGCTTCTGAGCGTGCCTCTGTCCTTGCCAGGACACATGCCAAGGAGCTTGAACTGTACTGTCCCAGCAACAGGGAGCCATTGAAGGTTTTAGAAGACAGTGGTGAGAGCAGATGTGTATTCTGGAAAACTGTCTGAATGAAGTAAGCAGGATGGCTGGAACCAGTGAGGGTTGGAGGCATGTGAATCCTCAACAAACAGCAGGGGAATCCAAGTGCCACACAGCAGCCTGAGCCTCACAGCACTGGATCTGGGGCGGGGGTGGGGGTGGGGGGGAGGGGAGTTGAGCCAGCAGATGAGCATGCCAGCTGCACATACTACTTGGTAATGAAATTTAAAAAGCTGGAAATTAGTGTTTTGGTTTTGGGGCTTGCAAAAGTGAGTGTGTTAAGTGTCACACCAAGATGCTGTGCTTTGCCCTCTCAGCCCAGGCCCTTTCCTTGCAGTCAGTGAGCCCAGGACCTGGGCCTGGGATGCCTGAGGGCAGTGGGGTGGGGGCCGAGTCCCGCTGCAGCTGCTTCACCCTGCACTGCTAAAGGCTGCACTGCACAGGCTCTCTGGGGATTTCCTGGGCATGGTCACAAATCTTCTGGAGGAAAAGGGCCCCATGCCCCTCTCCATGGTTCACGGTACACGTCACATTGTCCCACAGCTGAACCAAGTCAGTGCCAGTTCTTTCCCAGCAGCCATGCCCAGCCAGGCCCTCCAGCCCTGCTTGTAGGTTGCCCTGGGTAGGACCTAAGCTACAGTGGCCTTGGTCCTCTCAGGAGCCCAAGGGAGCCCAAGGAAACTAACTTGTGCCTCAGAAATTTTTTGTGCGTGATCTCAGCACATGGTCTGGTAGAGAGTGGAGGGAGTGAGACTGTAACAAACATGATACAAACACAAACTGTTACTGGTTTATTGAAAACCTACAAAGGTCCTGCGTTACTAAGAGAAGAGGGTGGGGGAAGTTTGGACGTGGACTCAGTTTTTGGAAAAATCATTGCCTACCTCTTTTAGAATTTAGTCACTTCTGGAGCCCACTGAACTTTGAGGACACCAGGAACATGGCCTCCCTCAGTTAAGAATGTGATTCTCAGTGCCTATGGTTCCCTATGGGGATGAGAGTGCATTTCCGAGGGGCTTTGAAAGAGTGTAAGTAGGGGCTTTCAGACTAACCCTCCATTCAGGGGTGGCTCGAGGTAGCATGGTTGGGTGGCCAAGAATGCCATTTGGGTGCTGCCTGAACATGCAGCAGATTTTGCAATCACAGGACTCCCTGAGCAGAGGGCAAGCTTCCTGGAGGCAGGAGATGGACTCCTTTATCAAGGGCCTGGCATGTCCAGCCCTGACCCCACAGTGACATGGCAGCAAGAAGACTGCCCTCAGGGGAAGTAGCTCAGTCATCCCTTTTGGAGAAACCCAGCATCTGTCATCAACTCTATTTCCTCCTGGGACTTGGTTTGGTGCTCACTTCTCAGAGAGCTCAGGTGAGATTTCCTCATCCAAGCCTTATGGGACCTTCCCGCAGGAGGAACTGGCTTTCTTCTATTATATGGTGTCATGCCTTAGAGGTGGAAGGTGGAACCTCCCCGCGCCATCAGGTAAGTGACTCAGGTACAGTCAGAACCTGCCACTGCTCCTGGGAGCTGCCAGAGTTGCAATGCAGCCCCATGGGATTTTCAACAGAGGAGCTTCCTTCTTTCCAGTGGGCAGCTGCAAAGTCCTCACTCTAAAGCCTCCCTCTTTTCAGTGCTCAGGGCTCAGCAGAAGAGTGGGGCCATGCCAGGCTGGCTCTGCTGCGTGTCCTGTGCCAGCCTAGCTGGGTCTCACTGGGGAGCTGCTGGGACCCTGGCGAGGCTGCCCTGGCACAGGGCCCTCCCCTGCTCCCAGGCAAACTCTATGCCAATGGGAGGGAGATGCTCATAGTCATCAGGGGGCTGTGGGTGGTTAAGGTTGAATGTCATGCCTGACCTCGGGACTTCTAGGGCAATACTCCTACTGGCCTGCCTTGAAGATTTTTCCCCGGAGGTGGCTCGGGTTTTCTGATCAGGGCTGCCTATCGGGACAGTTCCGATCTAGGTT